CTCAGCCATGTGGTGAGAAGTCCATCCATCCAAGCTATCGACAGAGGGGAAAGAGAAGCTGAAATCTAGGGGAGGGAGCCTGGGACCCCACTAGTGTCCTGACACCGGGGGGACAGACAGGCTGGGGAGCCAGAAGCTCTGAGCCTTGGAGCAGTGCCCCTGTGAAATATTAACCCAGGAGCTGGGGGGAACATCTGAACAAATGTCCTATTTACAGAGGCTGGATGCTTTCCAGGAGGGAGCAGATCATGGGCCAGAGATTGGGGGTGTGAGACCACTGTGAGGAGAGCTGGGGCAAGTGGGGGGGAACTCCTGGGGGACAGGGGTGCAGGCAAAACCGAGGTCACCTGACATGAAATTCCCACAGAGACTAAACCTGCGGGGCAGGTGATGTGAGAAAGATGCAGGAATGGAATGAGAAAGGTGTGCATCATGCTGGTACCATCTGGAGGCAGAGAGGCCTTGGGGAGGCTGGGTGAGGCTACGACTCAGACTGCTTGGGTTCTATTCTTGTAATCAGATGTATTATGATCACACCCATACCGAATACCAAGCATATGCCAAGAACTCTGCTAAGTACTTAATATGTGCCAGTTCATTTGATTCTCTCAACCCCCAGCGAGGCAGGAGTTATAATCAACAACTTACAGAAGAGGCAGCAAGGCTGAGTGTCTACATAATTCACCGTGACTATGTCTATGTACATACAGATTTGTAACTCAGGTATTCACTGGGTCAAGACCCAGTTTTTTGAGCTTTCCATGCATGTTCTCATTGAAACCACAGCAGCCTAGGATTGACATGTTATCATTTTATTTCCCAGATGAAGAAACTATGGCTCAAAGATGTACAATAGGCTGGTATAGTGGCTCATGCCTGTAATCCCAGTACTTTGGGAGGCCAAGGCAGAAGGACTGCTAGAGTCCAGGAGTTCGAGACCAGCCTGGGCAACATAGTGAGACACTGTCTCTACAAAAAAATTTTAGGCTGGGCATGGTGGCTCAGTCTGTAATCCCAGCACTTTGGGAGGCCAAGACGAGTGGATTGTCTGAGCCTGGGGGTTTGAGACCAGCCTGGGCAACTTGGTGAGATCTCGTCTCTACAATAAGTCACACACACACACACACACACACACACACACACACACACACACACACACAAATTAGCCAGGCATGGTG